GGTTTTTCATGCTGAATTTCCCCCCTAGTTCAGCGGTCACCAACTGGTGGTCCGTGAGAAAAGTTTGGTGGTCCGCAGAAAAATTATTTGCATTTTTTATATTGCACTAAATCAGGGATCCTCAAACTGTACGGCCCCTGGGATGGATACGTGCAATGAACGTTTGTGTTGCTGCGGAGAGTCTCCCCCTTCGGGGTCTTCTTGTGTGGGTCGGAGGGGGGCAGAAATTCCGACTTGGGGTCTGCTTCGGCCTCCTGGTGGGGGGCTTTGGGCGAAGGCTGGAGGGAAGAGCCGCTGGTGGCGAAGAGCCGGAGGGCCTCGTTCCAGTGGGACTGCCTCCTGGCCTGGAACTGGCTGACCATCTCAGCCCACTGGGCCTCCTGGGGCCGGTACCTGGCCTTGCACTCCCGCAGGTCTTCGCTCTGCTTGGAAAGCCTATGCTCCTAGTCCTCAGTGAGGTGCTTCTGCTGAGCCTCCTTCTCGGCCAGATCCAATTTGAACTGAGCTGTTTTGCCAACTCTTTCTCGTGGCGGCTGCTTAGCTCCAGCAACTGCTTCCTGTTGGGGCCCTAAGGAGCCCGGGCAGGGAGGGGAGGAGTGGCTGGGAGGGGGGGGGCAAGTAGAGACCGGCGAGGCGCCCCACAACATGAGTGACATCGAGTTGGCCACGCCCACCCAGTCACATGGTCACCTAGCCACGCCCAAAAAGCCGGTCATTAGGCAGATCGTATTAGTGGTCTGTGGGATTTAAAATTATAAATTTAGTGGTCCCCGAGGTCCGAAAGGTTGGTGACCCCTGCCCTAGATCTGAGGATGCGTCGAATTAAGTCTTGAAAATATACGGCGTCTTTAGCGCAGGGGTGCCCAGTCTTGGCAGCTTTTTTTTTTTTTTTTTAATTTGATTTATATGCCGCCCTTCTCCGGAGACTCAGGGCGGCTTACAGTGTGTTAAGCAATAGCCTTCATCCTTTTGTATATTTATACAAAGTCAGCTTATTGCCCCCACAAACTGGGTCCTCATTTCACCTACCTTAGAAAGGATGGAAGGCTGAGTCAACCTTGAGCCTTGGCGAGATTCGAACCAGCAGAAATTGCAGGCAGCTGGTGTTAATAACAGGGTGCTTTAGACCACTGTACTATCAAGCCTCTTTAAAAGTTTAAAAGTTCAACTCCCAGAATTCCCCAGCCAGCATCATCAACATCAGCATCTTCATTTAACCATCCCATAATCCCTTGCAGGGTGGAATCTGGGCAACTGAATGGAGCTAGCAGAGCATTTAATGCAGTGGTGAAATCCTCCGGAGATCGCCACCGGTCTGCTGTCTGCGCATGTGCCAAAAGCACGCTACACGCACATGCACACCACGCACCAAATGCGTACTTCGTATGGAAAAAGAACACTTAAGTAGAAAAGCGAGGGGTGGGAGAAACAGCTGTGCCGCGCGATTTAGCTTCACTAGAAAGCAGGAAATATAAACCGCGTGGCACAGCTGATCGTCGGAAATTTTTTACTACTGGTTTGCAAACCGGTAGCATTTCGCCCCTGGTTTAATGGCCGGATGCCTTTCCTGTCGCCAATGCGGAGTTTTGTTCAGCCGATAGATTCTCATTGTGCCCGGAGAGAGAAATATCTGCCTCTACCTAGGATCGAACTCACAGCCTCCTGATTGTGAGGCAAGAGCTCCACCTCCAGGCCACCGCGCCATTCCTAATTCCCCAGCCGGCAAGGATGGGATTAAAATTGACATTCTCCTCCACCCAAATTCTAAGAACAGGATATAAGCCTCAGGACACAATAGGATTAACCCACCACCATTTAGCAAAAGACACAAGCCCCTTCTCATTGCACAACCCCCCCCCACCAGAACAGTTCAAACTTCAAAAGTCACAGAAACCTATAAAGATCCACCCGCTCATTCAACCATTTCTTCAGCTGACCCAGAACCGCATGCTGCGTGGTTCTGTTCATCATTAAACCTTCTTTCCAATCAGCCTCCAAGTTGTTTCCAGCGTCTTTCTCCCAGCTTGGAACTGAACCAGGTGGGTGGATTTTCCTTCCAAGACTCTTCAAGGGTAGCCCCGCAGAGAGCGTGTTGCAGTCGTCCAGACGGGTCACTGATCCGAGGAATGGGCCTGCGTTTCAGCTTGAAGTGCTTCGTTTGGGGCATTAGCCCCACACACCCACCCCATGGAGAAATTCCCTCCCAGGGTCAATGCCTTCTGCTCCTCCTGAGTGCGGTTCTTGATTTCGCAACAGGCATTTCTCTCAAGGACGTTCCTGCAGAGTGAAGACTTAGAACTTAGAATAAACTTTATTGTCACTTTGAATGTACACGGATCGGCATACATTAAAATGAAATTTCGTTACATGCAGCTCTCAAAGGGTTACCACCGCCAATAAACACTACATAAACATAACAAGATAGAGATAGATAGATAGATAGATAGATAGATAGATGGATGGATAGTTAGTTAGAGGTAGATATAGATATAGATAGATAGAATAGATAGAGATAGAGGTAGATAGAGATAGATAGTTATAAATAGAGATAGTTATAGATATATAGATAATTAGATAGATATAAATAGATAGATATAGTTAGATAGAGATAGAGATAGATAAGTTATAGTTGTAGATATATAGCGATAGAGATAGAGATAATTAGATAGAGATAGATAGAGATAGAGATAGTTAGATAGAGATAGATAGATAGATAGATAGATAGATAGATAGATAGATATAAATAGAGGTAGATATAGATAGATAGAATAGATAGAGATAGAGGTAGATAGAGATAGATAGTTATAGAGATAGTTATAGATATATAGATAATTAGAAAGATATAAATAGAGATAGATAGAGATAGAAATAGATAAGTTATAGTTGTAGATATATAGAGAGATAGAGATAGAGATAGTTAGATATAGATAGATAGATAGAGATAGAGATAGATAGATAGATAGATAGATAGATAGATAGATAGATAGATAGATAGATAGATGATACAAAATTATGCAGGTACCCAAATATATGACATGGAGAGACAACACACTCTAGTTCGGAGGTATACATGTACATGGCGAGAAAAACAAATCTTGCGAGTTTAGCACCAGACAGATGGTGTAGGGACCAAAGCTGTTACAGAATCTGGTAGTCCTGCTAGAAATACTTTGAAACCTCCTCCCAGAGGGGAGCAACAGAAACAGGTCATAAAGTGGGTGTGTGGGGTCTCTAACAACGCTTTGAGCTCTAAGCATATAGCGCTTATAAGCGGTATCCTGAAGAACGGGAAGCGAGCTTCCTATAATCTTCTCCACTGTCCTCACCACTCTCTGTAGGGACTTTCTATCTGAGGCACTGCTGCCGCCAAACCAAGAAGTAATCATGCGGCTCATTAAAATGCTCCCCATTGTGGCTCTGCAAAAAGTAGCCAGGACAGAAGGAGGAAGATGTGCTCTCCTCATCCGATGCAGGAAATGCAGATGGTGCTTTGCACGCTTCACTAAGGATGATGTGTGGAGAGACCAATTCAGATTGTTAATTATTTGCACCCGCAGGTACTTAATACTGTTGACCAGTGGCGAAATCTAATTTTTTTTTTTACTACCGGTTCCGTGGGCGTGGTGTGGCTTGGTGGGCATGGCAGAGGAAGGATACTGCAAAATCTCCATTCCCACCCCACTCCTGGGTAACTTGGAATGCTGTAAATGAACTGTTGTAAGTCAAGACTACCTGTAGTTGCTACGTAGGAGTCAATAGTGACCGAAAGACACACAAAAAAGAAAAATGTACCTAAAACCATGATGTCTCTTGCAGAATAATTAAATGAATTTCTTTAAAAAAAATACTAACTTGACATTAGCTCGAGTACAACTTAATCCTTTGTGAATATTGTTTTTTTTATTGCTATTTTTCTGCTGATACGTAAAGCAGATCCTGAAAATAAGACAAGAGGGTAGAGTTCTATTTCAGCTTCATTTCATTGTGTCTTGTATTCTCCGCGAGTCTTCCCACTGTGAAACTCAATTCATTCACACATTCAGAGAGAGGCATTTGACCCAAGGTGACCCTATCAATTGACAGCCTAATCAATGGCGCCATTTACCTGAAAAAACAATGCACAACTAGTTGCAAAAGGCGGAAAAATCATCACATTCACTTTTTTATTTTATTTATTTATTTATTTAACAATTGATTTATTCTATTTTTTTTTGCTCGCAGCCTTCAGATAAATGCAATTTTCAGGCACTAATTTAAACTTGCAGTGAAGCTTAGCTTTATTTTTCAGAGAATCTGGCCTTTAGCCCGAATAAACTATACCTCCCTCTATTTTTAAAACTGGTATCATTTGAGAAAAAGATTTTAAAATAATAAAACTAAGTTTTCCAGATTTTCCCCATTCCGACGTGACTATACCGTTCACGTGAAAAGACAGACCCGTTTGTACCTTTGGCTCCACCCGCCACCTGCTATCGCCATTCTCATTGGTTGTCATTATTCCCGCCCACCTGTCCTTGGACCCACCCTCTAACCCCGCCTCCCTTACGTCATTGACTCCACCCCGCCACCTGCTATCGCCATTCTCATTGGTTGTCATTATTCCCGCCCACCTCTCCTTGAACCCGCCCTCTAACCCCCGCCTCCCTTACGTCATTGATTCCACCCCGCTACCTGCCATCGCCCTTCTCATTGGTCTTCATCATTAATTATTCCCGCCCACCTCTCCTTGGACCCGCCCTCTCCCCTCTCCCTTACGTCATTGACTCCACCCCTGCTTTCCACGTATCGTTCCCCACTCCTCTCTACCTTGCGGCGCTTACGTCGAGCGACCTATCCCCGCCCCTTTCGGCGTCCTCGCCCTATGGGTTCTTATCCCGCCTTCCCGCCGCTCCATCCTGGGGCCCTCATTGGCTACCGGAGAATCTCCCTAGTGGATACTTTCACGCCCCTTTCTGATTGGCCGGCCGCTCTCTTCCCGGCGCACCAATCGGGTGTCGAGTTACCTCAGGAGCGTTATCCTCGCTGAGGCTTGAGGCAGCCGAGACCTGTCAGAAGCCGAAGCGGCGCGATGGCGGGTCGAGGCGCGGCTTGGAGGCCGTGGCTTCCGCTCCTTTTGTTGCTCGTGTGGCGGGGCGGCGGGGTCCGGGCGGCGGTGCATATCAAGAAAGCCGAGGCCGCTTCTTTTTCTTCTTCTTCTTCTTCCTCGGAGGCCCCGCATTACTTGGACGACGCCGAGCTGGGCGAGACGCTGAGGCGGATTTCTGAGGAAGAAGCTTCGCGAGGCCTGGCGCGGCGCTTCTCCATCGGCCGCTCCAACGAAGGGCGCGAGCTGTGGGTGCTGCGCCTCAGCGAAGGCCTCCCGGACGGCGGCGGCGGCGGCGGGCCTCCCTTGGCGGGCCGCCCTCAGGTGAAGCTGGTGGCCAACATGCACGGCGACGAAACGCTGGGCCGGCAGTTGCTGGTCCGCCTGGCCCGGGAACTGGTGGCCGGCTGGGCCCGCGGGGATCCCCGAGCCCGCCGCCTCCTCAACGCCACCGACCTCTTCCTCCTGCCCAGCCTCAACCCGGACGGCTTCGCGCGATCCCGGGAAGGGGACTGCCAGGGTGTCGGCGGGCGGGAGAACGGACGGGGCCGCGACCTCAACCGCAGCTTCCCCGACCAGTTCGCAACCTCACAGCTGGATCTGGCCGACGTGCCCGAAGTGCGCGCGCTGATGGAGTGGATGCGGCGCAACCGGTGAGGAGGAGGAGGAGGAAGGAAGGAAGGAGCGCACGTGGGGGGCGGGGCTTGCCGGGCCTGCGCTTTGAAGCGCCGCCTTGTTCCTAGGGGTGGCCACGCCCCTCGGAGGTGGGCGGGGCAGCTCCTGCTTTAGGGTTTTGTGTGTATAGATGTGTGTGTATATGTATTATATATGTATATATGGGGTGTGTATCTGTTATCTATCTCTATCCATCAATCCATCTGTCTGTCTGTCTGTCCATCATATCTCATCTATATCTATCATATATCCATCCATATCTATCTATCCATCCATTCATCCATCTATCTGTCTGTCTGTCCGTCCGTCCATCCATCCATCATCTCTTTCATCTATATCTATCATATATCCATCCATATCTATCTATCTATCTATCTATCTCTATCCATCCATCTGTCATCTATCTATCTGTCTGTCCATCCATCCATCATCTCTCATCTATATCATATATCCATCCATCCATATCTATCATCTATCTACCTATCTATCTATCTCCATCAATCCATCCATCTGTCATCTATCTGTCTGTCCATTCATCCATCCATCATCTCTCTCTCATCTATATCATATATCCATCCATATCTATTATCTATCTGTCTATCTATCCATCCATCCATCCATCCAATCTCTCTCCTATCAATCTATCTATCTACACCGTGTTTCCCCGAAAATAAGACCCTGTCTTATATTTTTTTGAACCCCGAAATAAGCACTTGGTCTTATTTTCAGGGAGGTCTTATTTTTGGGGGGCACCAGAGGAGGAAACCAGACGAAATAGTGGAGACTGGCTACGTATATATTTAAATATTTTTGGGGAGGACTTATTTTCGGGGGGGCTTATTTTAGTGCTTGTGCTCAAAAGCCCGATTGGGCTTATTATCAGGGAATGTCTTATTTTAGAGGAAAGAGGGTTTATGTATATGTGTATGTATACCCTGTTTCCCCTAAAATAAGACATCCCCTGATAATAAGCCCAATTGGGCTTTTGAGCATGTGCACTAAAATAAGTTGCCCCCCCCCGAAAATAAGCCCTCCCTGAAAATATTTAAACGCATGCACAGCCGGTCCCCGCCATTTCCTCTGGTTAGGGTTAGGGAGACAGAGCTGGAAATCAGGTAAGATGGCAAGAAGAGCCCCGTCTTGCTCCATGTGCCTCAAAATAATAAGACCTCCCTGAAAATAAGGCCAAGCGCTTTTTTCAAAAAAATATAAGACACGGTCTTATTTTCGGGGAAACACGGTAATATATATATATTAAACCAGAAGTTGTACTGCCCAACTAAGAGGGGTGTGCCCACCACAACTAGGAATAAGGCAGCACTTACATATAATTTTGTGTGTGTGTGTACACACATATGTACATACATGCATACACACACACATAGTCCTTGACTGACAAGTTCATTTAGTGACCATTCGAAGTTACAACGGCACTGAAAAGTGACATGACCAAGGGGATGCTGCAACAGTTGTATGTGTGAAAAATAATCATGTCACTCAATGTCATTGTAACTTTATTAGTTACAATGTTATGGTTATTGGTGTAAGTCAAGGCACACACACACGCATGTATGTGCATATATATATATGTGTGTGTGTATGTATATAAAAGAATATTTGTAACTCAAGGTTGGCATGAGGGGTCCTTGGTGCTCCCTGAGCTTGCTTGTTTTCTTGCAGACATTTCATGACCCATCTAGGTAACATCATCAGTGCTAGTAAGGAGTTTGCTGTCAGTTTATATTCTTGTGTCTTGCCCTGTCAGTGTTGGTGGGGGTGGTCTTAGAGATTCTTTGGTTGAACTGCTTCCTGTTGGCTTCTTCGGCAGTTTCTTGATTGGGGTAATGTTTACTTGATTGGTGGTCTGATGTTAACCTTGGAGTTAATCTATGCTGATTTGGGTGCTGATTGCTGATGGAGAGGTGCTTCCGGGTTTTTTGCTTCCTTTTGGGGCTGAGTGATAGTCTCTTTTGCCTAGTCCAGTAATGGCGAACCTCTTCAGCACTGAGTGCCCAAACCGGAATCATGTGCATGCACGCATGCTGGAGCGCTGGAAACCCGAAGACCAGCTGGCCAGCGTGTGCATGCCCGTTTTTCAGGCCGTTTTCCAGTGCTCCAGCGTCCACAAAGACCAGGTGGCCAGGGTGCATGTGTGCCCCAGAAACCAGAAGAGCAGCTGTCGACGGCGCACGTGCCCACAGAGGACTCTGTGTGCCACCTCTGGCACACGTGCCACAGGTTCACCATCACGGCTCTATAAGTTAGATAAACTTGATTGTCATTTTTTTTGCATACACAATGGCTCATCTTGAAATGAAATGTTGATGCACCTCAATAACTTAAGACCGTCAGTGTACCTAATATTCCTTCTTCCTCCTGTTTTCCCCAAAATAACAACCCTGTGAGGTGGGTTGGGCTGAGAGGGAGGGACTGACCCAAAGTCACCCAGTTGGATTTCATGCCTAAGGTCGGACTAGAACTCACTGGCTCCTGGTGATTGGCTCAAAGCCACCAAACTGCCTTTCATGGCTAAGTGTGAACTGGAACTCCCAGTCTCCTTTTTGACGTGCATATGAGTCCTATTTTCTCTTACAATAATCTTTAAAAAATTGGATGTGGAGGGGGTCACCCATGCAGCTTATTAGCTGGGGAGGGAACACAACCTGGGTCTCCCTACTCCTAGTCAAGTATTGCAATTTCTCCACCACCCTGCAATGGTTCTGAGGCTGATAGTGAGGGACTTGTGTAGAATCCCCCAAGGAGCTGAGAGGAGATAGAATGTGGGTCTGCCTGCTCCTCGTTAAGCTCCTTCATTGCCATATCAAGCAGGCCAAGCGAGAGGAATAGAGTAGAACAGAGCTGAAAGGGGCCTTGGAGGTCTTCTAGTCCAACCTCTGGTCAAGCAGGAGAACCTATACCATCTCAGATAAGTGACTGTCTAGACTCTTCTTAAAAACCTCCAGTGATGAGGCACTCACAACATCTGGTGGCAAGCTGTTCCATTGGTTAATTGTCCTCACTGTTAAGAAGTTTCTCCTCAATTCCAGAGTTTCCATCCGTTGTGTCTTGTCTTGCCTTCAGGGAGAAGAGGTTGACCCCCCTCTTTGTGGCAGCCCCTCAAATACTGAAATAGAGTCCCCCAGGACTCTCTTTATTTATTTAAATCTATATGTCGCCCATCTCATTGATAACATGACTCTAAGAGGCTTACAGACAGTAAAACAACCTTTTTAATATGTCCTAACAGTGAGGACAATTAATCAGTTGTGGGTCCTTCATCACTGGAGGTTTTTAAGAAGAGACTGGACAGTCACTTGTCTGAAATGGTATATGGTCTCTTGCTTGAACGGGCTGGATTAGAAGATCACCCAAGGTGCCTTCCAGCTTTATTCTGATTGATTGATTTCCTTACAAATGCTTCAGTTTTAAAAGTAGCCTATAAATAAATTAGTGAAGGAATTAATAAACGTGAATCCTGTCAATAATTTTTCAATATATAATGTTGTTGTTATTATTATTATTATTATTATTATTATTATTAATGTTATTATTATTATTATTATTTATTAGATTTATATACCGCCCTACTCCCGAAGGACTCAGGGCAGTGAACAGCCGATAAAACATATACAATATAAAATTTAAAAAAACAATTCAAAATGTATTAAATAAATTTGGCCCATACTAATTAAAACACCCCTATTTTTAAAAATAAATTAAAATTAACCAATTAAAAAAGTTAGGCCAGCCCAGCTTGTTGGAATAAAAAAGTCTTGAGGGCGCGGCGGAAGGTGTGTAAATCCGGGATCCTCCGTATCTCCGGGGGGAGCTCGTTCCAAAGGGCAGGTGCCCCCACAGAGAAGGCTCTCCCTCTGGGGGCCGCCAGTCGACACTATTTGGCCGACGGCACCCTGAGGAGCCCCTCTGTGGGAGCGTACTGTCTGGTGAGAGGCTACCGGTGGCAGAAGGCGGTCTCGTAGGTACCCAGGTCCTGAACCATGGAGCGCTCTAAAGGTGGTAACCAATACCTTGAAGCGCACCCGGAAGACCACCAGGAGCCAGTGCAGCTCGCGCAGGAGAGGTGTTACATGGGAATGCCATGTCGCTCCCATAACTATCCGTGCGGCTGCCTTCTGCACCAGTTATAGCCTCCGAGTGCTCCTCAAGGGGAGCCCCATGTAGAGAGCATTGCAGTAGTCCAGGCGGGAAGTGATGAGGGCGTGAGTGACCGTGCATAAGGAGTCCCGATCCAGAAAGGGACGCAACTGGCGAATCAGGCGAACCTGATAAAAAGTCCCCCTGGCCACAGCCGTCAGATGTTCTTCTAAAGACAGCCGTGTATCCAGGAGGACACCCAAGTTGCGAGCCCTCTCTGTGGGGGCCAGCGACTCGTCCCCAATAGTCAGTGATGGCACCAACTGGCTATATCGGGACGCCGGAAACCACAGCCACTCGGTCTTGGACGGGTTGAGCCTGAGTCTGTTTCTCCCCATCCAGATCCGCACAGCCTCCAGGCACCGGGACATCACTTCAAGGGCATCATTGGGGTGGCCCGGGGTGGAGATGTACAACTGAGTGTCATCAGCGTACTGGTGGTACTTCACCCTGAAACCACGGATGATCTCACCCAGTAGCTTCACATAAATGTTGAACAGAAGGGGCGAGAGAACCAACCCTTGTGGCACCCCACACACAAGGCGCCTCAGGGTCGATCTTTGCCCCCCTGCCAACACCGACTGGTTGTTGAACACCAGAACACCAATGTTCTGGTTGGCACACAGCAATTTCTTCAAAAGAATTCTTTTGATGCCAGCTCGCTTAACATTGAAAGGTATCATATCCTTTTTGTACTGCTGGAAAGAAAGTAACTAAAAGAGCCAATATTTAAATAGAATCTCCTTATCTGCTGCAATCGATCCACTATATTTAGAGCATTCCCCCTTTTTCATTGTGAGGTTACATAGCTTTCAGGTATCCATTGACATTTCTGCAATTTGCTGTGGCTGATTCAAACACAACTACTTTGGTAGGAAAATAAATACTCCTTACCTCCAAACTGCTGAGATTTTTATTATTGTTGTTCTGTTTCGTTTTTGTTTTTTTAAAATACAGGTTTGTGCTTTCTGGGAACTTTCATGGGGGAACTGTTGTTGCAAGCTATCCATTTGATGACTCAAAGTCGCACAAGTCCTCTGGGATATACAGTAAATCGGCTGACGACGAAGTTTTCAAATACCTAGCCAAAGCCTACGCATCAAACCATCCCATCATGAAAACAGGCACCCCAAACTGTCCTGGGGAAGAGAAAGAAACCTTCAAAGATGGCATCACCAACGGAGCTCAGTGGTATGATGTAGCAGGTAGGTTGCGCAACTTGACTTGACTGCCAGCTAATGGATCGGAGCCTTTCGATGTAGAGCGGCATAGATAATGTTGGAAATAAACTGCCTTATAGAGAAATACGCTACCGAAAAGGAAGTATCCTAGCAACAGGGCCAGTTGTGGCTATTTGATTCTGCTTGTTTAAATGTCATTGTTGTACACAGTAAAGCAATATATCAAGAAACCATCGGGTTTAACTAGTGTAACTAATCCTCGAGTTACAACCACAATTGAGCCCAAAATTTATGTTGCTAAGTGAGACATTTAATTGAGTTTTTCCCTCCTTTACGACTTTTCTTGTCACCGTTGTTAGGTGAATCATTGCAATTGTTAAGCCAAAGCACTTGTATGGCTTGTTTGGGCATTTTGCAATTGGTTGAGGTTTCCTCTGGATCTGCAAAGTTAGAAGAATGCTATACATTACACTTGAAGATGGATGGATGGATGCAGCCGGTCTTATTCTGATTAATATTGGAAACACATTGTCTTGCAAGTAACCTTTCCCTGGAGAATGTCGGCTTTATGAGGAATAACTGGCACTTTGAATTGTGCTCAGAAGTAAACCATCAAACCACTGCAGCTTGTGAAGCAGAAGTGTTACATGGGCATATTGAGTCATGCCCACCCCTGCACGTAGGACCAGTTGAGGTTTCTGGGGGGTCTTCAAGGGTAGCCCACGTAGAGTGTGCTGCAGTAGTCAAGCTGTAACTGACAAGAAATGAATGATGGTCTGAAAGTCTCTTTGATCCAGGAAGCAGTAAATCTGTCTCCTTCAGTATCTGCCTAGGTAGTTAGATCCTGCAGGGTTGGGACATTTCCAATACCTTCAATTAAATATCGTGTATTGGAACCCTAGAAATATTCCTTCTGTAGTAGAACCTAAAGAATGAGGTCCCCCCCCCAAAAAAAACTAGATAACCCCCTACACACACACACACACACACACACAGTATTCTGCTTGTAAGAACCATGAAGCCCTGGTTATTCATCCAGGCCTTTCACAAGGAAGAATGAGACCCAGGCTTCTGTTGCAATAATTTATGAAATACTCAACTGCTAGGATAGATTGCAAAAGCACATAGAAGAGCAGGAAAACAAGGAAAATATTATATTCCAATCTTATGAATAGTAAGGTTTCTTCATGAAGAAAAGTAGATATGTTGAGGCATTTAACACATTAGAGAAAAAAATTACAAAATCTGTTGTGCTGATGTCTCTATGTGTGACAGGTATTTTCATGGCTAATTACGTGCTTTCGATGTTGCTGTTGATTGAACAAAGGATTGCATATTCTGTATGTTATGCCAATGGTTAGCTTTGGTAAAGCAGCTGAACAAGCATGTTCAATTAGTTAAAATTATTTGTGATCCTGAAAATACATTCAGCATCACAAAGAACATCTAATATCTAACTGAAAGAATGTTTAAAAATATCTGTACAGGATGTGTTTGGTAGCTGATTTCTAATACAATAGACATTTCTACGTAACCTCAACCTATATATTCCTGATTTCTTTTTTTGCAATTCTGTAGTTGGTTTTGTTGTCTTTAATACTGTATGTGTGTGGGGGGTGTTTTTTTTTTTTTTGATAATTTTTTATTAAAGTTTAAATAATATAATTGTTTAACATTTTGTAAGCTGCCTAGAAATAGGCAGCTTACAAAATGTTTAATTTAGCCTATAAATTTGTTTAATTTAGCCTATAAATTTGATTAAATTAAAAATGGATTGAATTAAGTATGACTTGTTTAGATTTAGGATTTAGAGTCTCTTTATATTATTCTTTATGTTGGGTTAAAGAAGCATACGTATTTTTTATTCTAATTAAATGCTCTAAACCTACATTCTGATTTCTTTTTCAATGACTTCATCTAAATTAGTGATAAACAGACATTTCCATATTTCAAAGTCTAATTATCAAAATAAAATAAAATTAGTTCATTGTTATCAATGGAAAAGAAATAATATTTTGAAGCCATAAATTATGCCTATTAATAGTTTTATATAAGGACTACATTAATTTTGTCTTAAGTAAGATAGGTGGGTGTCAGATCTAATGAGAAAAATAACTTTTTTCTTAATAAAGCTAAAGATTTAATTGTAATAATTTAAAATTTAATAATTTAGTCAGCAGATTTTTACATTGGCCAAATGTCTTAAATAAAGCCATCTCTTTTTATCAGTAATCATTATCTCCTTTTCCTGTTATAGCCCCCATTTCTCTCTCTCTCTTTCATCATAGCGAACACACCCAAATAGTGGAATAAGATATGAGCTAATTATATTTACAAGGATTGCTGGGTTTAATGTACCGTACAAGGAAATAGAATGAGTAAATAATTGTAAAACTTAAAATTATTACTCAGCTCAAACAGGATATCCTTGAAGAAGCATAATTTCTTTTTTTTGTATTTACAAATACATCTGTTAGGTAGAAAACTATGAATTGTCAGTTAATTCTTTGCTATCATAACAGGAAAATTTATTTATTATTTATTTATTTATTGATGAGATTTATATGCCGCCCTATCTCCAGCTGGACTCAGGGTGGCTCACAACAGTAAAAAACATCTAATGAAAAAGTTAAAAAGAAATTAAATCCAAAACGCACATTTTATATATAACAAGCAGTGTGATGCCCTCTAGGTATTTTGAAATAAAAGTCCCACAATCCCTCATCACTTATCATAAGGCTCCTGATGGGAAACATTTTTTTAAAGTATACTGCTATAATTCACAACATCTGACAATAAACAAGAACAACATTAAAATATCACAAACCTAAAACTCAAAAACCTGCTATATTTTATGGCAGCAGTAATAATACTTGAAACAAAGGTTAGGTTTTGCGTCTCAGTTTTCCTTTTTCTTTTTCCTTCTACTTCATTTTCTTATATGCAATGTGTTTTTAAATTGTAGTTCTCTTTAAAAACGTATATCACAGACACCAGCTGTTCCCAACCGTGTTTCCTGATTCCTGCTTTTTTGTGCTTCACAGCATTTATTGGGTAAAAACCTTGCAATCTGTTTCTCTCTTCATTAAAATAATTATAATATGACAAACTGGTGCTGCTCACTTTTATAAGCAGATCTGTTAGTATATGTGAACTTCAAAACTTGTGTGCTTGCTTAAGAGAAAATCTTCCTTGGCACTGTAGTATTTACAGTACCTCTTTAAGTCCTTTAGACATTTTCCCATGTTACATAAAGCTAATTATCTACTTGGAAAATTCCCACGGCTGCCCATCTTGGATATGAATACTGAGAGCCTAACAATTGAAAATTGAAACAATATAATGAAATCTCGACCATTCTAGACAAAAGACACAACACTAAAATACTCATAGCACACTAACCCAGCCACACCTATATTAAGCTCAACTAGCATTCTGGCTCGGTGTCTGGGTTTTAGCCAGGTCTTTGGGAAAGCCAGGGGACCTTCTGGATCAGGGGTCCCCAACCCCAGGTCTGCAGCATGCCAGAAACAGGGCCACGCAAACAAGTGAAACCCCATCTGTGGGATGCAGGCAGCATGCAAAACCACGCCACCTCCAGTACACGGAAGAACCGCTCCATGGATCCAGTCCCTGGCACCCCAAAGGTTGGGGTCCGCTGTTCTAGATCTCAGGGGGCAAATTTCTACATGGCAGATGCTGCAGTAGACAAGGCATGATTCCTTGGTCCAGTAAGATGAGACATTGCTTAACCCAGGGGTGTCAAACTCAAGGGCTATGAGGTGCTTAGATCCAGCCCATGGGGCCAGCCTGGAAATATCAAAGGACAGGCCTGCGATGTCTCGGCCAGCCAAATCGGGCCATGTGCGCCCCCCCTCCCCACAGCCCATTTTCTGCCTCCCTGGCCTCCTGCAGCACTCAGCTGGCCAAAAATGGGCTGCACAGCCCGTTTTTGGTCAGCAGAGTGCTGCTTGAGGCCAGGAAGGCCAAACACAGGCTGCATGGGGGCCTTGGGAGGCCTCCACACAGCCCGTTTTTGGATGGCAGAGTGCTGTTAGAGGGCATGGAGGGTGAAAATGAGGCACGGGGGGGCGCGTGTGGCCCCCATGCCCCGTTTTGGCCAATAAAGTACTGCAAGAAGCCATTCAGGCCAAAAACGAGGCCCCAACTCAGAGCTGAAGAAGCTTCTTGGATGAGAAGCGAAACGTCTTCAATGAAAAATTAGAAAGTCCAGTTGCCTCTTCAAAAAATCCACCTTTGGGACAACCATGACCTGGATGGCAGAGAAGCTCCATAGACTCCCCCCATCCTTGTTTTCCAAAGGCCCTCTACAAATGACTCAGTACTATACCTGGCAGGAGCCCCAACCAGAAAGGATGCAGACAATCTGTTTCCTCAAAAACCATCGTGAATTGCGATCACATGACTGTGGGATGCTGCAAACTTCCTTTGCAGCAAATATAAGTATTTTGTAATTGCAAGGTTATCTCTTACTGTTATGATTACAAAACATACTAATTATTTCCATTATCTAGATCTTTTTTCCTAATCATCAAAGCCACAAATTGCTTTTTTTTTATTTCATGCAAAAAAAATCTACACAAGGTTTCCAGTCATAAATATATTGTCTTTTCTCTGATCAAAGAAGTCAAGTTAGCCATCTGTGCAAACTCCAACATTTTCACCGACTATTCCTGTATTGAGGGTAGAATTGAACTTTCCCACTTTTGAGCATATAGTAATCCCACCACAGTTGTCCTCTATAAAAACATAATTCTGTGAGTGTTTTCTAGCTGTTTGTCCATTGAAAGTTACAGCATTGTTGTAACTGCGAATGGTTGCTAAATGAGGCAGTTGCTAAATGAACACTGCACATATATTTTTTTAACGTTGCATTTTAAATGTGCCAAGAACAAGGATTTGCTATATGACTTTGCTATAAGAGCAAAATTTCATATTTGTCCAGGGTGCACTTTCATCTGTTTATCTTTTTACTGCCAAATTTGGCCCTCCTGCTTTGAAATCTGGAAAAGTTATTTTGCTAACCTTAAGAGCTAATGTCATGTTAAATTAGCATTGGAACAGAGACACCTTGTTTTTCAAGTTCTGATTAACTTTCTTTGGGACTTTGGATAGGTACATTTTTTAGATAGGTACATCTTAACCTACTTAATAGGAGTGTAATAATGATAAAAATGGGAGGGACATGCACTTTATTATTAGTTTTTCAAAAAATGTGTGTGTATGAGTGTATGTATGAATCTACAATCCCACTCTTTAAATTGAGTGAGGGATAAAAATTATATGAGATAGTAAAATGCCTCAGACATAATGAAAAATCAGGACTCCTACTTATTAACCTGTTAAGGTTTTTTTGTAAACATGATCACATATGACAAATAGGGAAGCTGCATGATCTCAAAATTCCAATTGTTATTTTTAAAGTAGCAGATACCTTTCTGTTTTTTCCCCTCCTAAACGGTCCTTTGTTTCTTTGAAAGTTGAGACCTTTTTTTTTCATTTGCACAAATGGGTTTTCCTGCCTACTGAAAGATACTAATTTGAAATCATGTGAAGAGAAGTCTGTTGATGCAAAAGATTGTTCTTTGCTTCATTATTTCACGATTCTTTCTTTAAATTCCTTAGGTGGAATGCAAGATTATAACTATGTTTGGGCTAACTGCTTTGAGGTCACATTTGAACTTTCCTGTTGCAAATACCCACCAGCTTCTCAGCTTGAGCAAGAATGGCTGAATAACCGGGAATCTTTGCTCACTTTCATTGAAAAAGTAAGATTTGACTTTAACTCTCTTCTTGACTATGTTTGCCAAACAATCCATGTATATTTGAGTCTGTCTTTGTTCTGGAAAATGAAAAGACTTTATTCATCTTGGTCAGGGTGTTTTTTGCCTGCAGATTTTGAATATGCTTCTTGTTAGTCAGAATGTCAGCTCTGCCTAATCCCTTTTGACTCATAAATTGGATCAAGTACACAGTTTTTAAGGTTTGTATTATTGTGGTAGACCAAAATTCAGGCAACATTTAAAGAGAAGGAAGTGTCACTGATCCATGTTTGAATTTCTTTGTTTCAAATCACAAAAAGACTTTGGTTTAGAGATATATACTAAGCTGTAATAATAAGCGTGTTTGGTTTTAGCAATTTTGTAATTCCAGTTAATCATATCCTATTTATTAAATTAATGGCTAAGCAAGCCATAATCAGATCTGTATTAATCAGATCTTTGTCTCAGTTTCTTATCACTCTTAACACATTTAACAATTACCCAACTAAGCAGGGAATAAGTATTTTTTTTTTCCTCTCTCAAGTTCTTTTTCTTTCATTTGCCCAGAGTAAAGGTATTTGGTTGGATCTTCACAAGCTTTATCCAGTGTCACTTGTATTATCTAAATTCTCTCAGGTTTTTCACTGTAGCTCTGTGTGTGCTAAGAAATATTCAAATATCCTCAAAAATACTTTATCTCAAGAGTTACACGTAGTTCTTTCAAAGTTACTTTCTGTCCTGATCTCTCTCTCATATCTAAAGTCAACACTGGTAATTATTCACACATCAGACTAAATGGTGTTTCTTGTATTCAGCTATTGATTACAGGTAATTCTCGATTTACGACCACAATTGAGTCCAAAATTTATGAGAAGTGAGAAATTTGTTAAGCGAGTTTTGCCCCATCTTACGACCTTTCTTGCCACCATTGTTAAGTGAATCACTTCAGTTGTTAAATTAGTCACATGGTTGTTAAGTGAATCTGGCTTCCCCATTGACTTTGCTTGTCAGGTTTCAAAAGGGGATTACACGATCCCGGGACACACAACTGTCATAAATCTGAGTCAGTTGCCAAGTGTTTGAATGTAAATGTCAGGGATGCCTCCCTTCAGACCCTAAGAAAGAAACCCCCCGACTCCATTGATTTAGAGAAGAGGTACCCGTACTTTTACTAAGAATGAACTGATAGCAGCAAAAGCAAGGCAAGATCTGAAACAAACCACCTGAAAGTTACACATTGAAAGTCACCCCAAGTCCCTCTCCCCGGGGTCCCAGCACCAAGAGGCCAACCAACGACCAGTAAGATATTATGGGAAAGCTCCTCTGCAGGTATTTCTCACCCCTGGGGTCTCAGGATGGTTAGCCATGAAGAAGTATAAACAATTCCACTCAGCACGCGTGAGTGCAAACCTCCCATCCAGTTCTCATGGGATGGCTCACTTCCCCATCCCAAATGCCCAACGCCCCCCTCCCCCTTTCTATGACAGCCAAGAGCAAGCAAACGTCAGGAAACCATGCTGGAGATTCGGCTTACATGTAAGTCTGATGACCATGAGGATGCTGCAATGGTCATTAGTGTGAAAAATGTTCATAAGTCACTTTTTTCAGTGCCATTGTAACTTCAAACGGTCACTAAATGAACTGTTATAAGTTGAGGACTACCTGTATTAGAGTCAAGTATATGCAAACCCTACCTTTCAAGGTCTGATTAAAGATTGGCTGATCATGGAGCCAACCACTGACTATACAGACTTGATATATTAAGCCATTCCATGGATTTACAATTCAGATTATTGTATCCTAATCCTAGAAACTTCATCACTTCGGTGGTTGTGAATCACAATCAGTATTCTTTGGGGGTTGGAACTAATCTGTGTAATCTGTGGTTAGAATTTAGAATAACTTTATTGCCACTTTGAATGTACACTAATCAGCATACATTAAAATGAAATTTCGTTGCATACAACGAAATGGTTCAGGGTGTTGTCCAGATCTAGACGAAAGGATTAGCTCTGCTTAAAGAGTCATTTGTCCTTCTTGAATGTAGCACGGGGTGCTGGCAATGTTGAGCTGCTCATATGTCGGCAATAGCATTGATAATTTTCTTTTTCCAATAATTATAACTGCATAGGAACCCCCTTTCAATATCAGAGGAGCTAAAGGAAAAATGAGTTTTCATCCAGCCTGCACCTGTCATCTATTTGTTGTGCATATACTAAAATTATCCCGAAAGTTGCAGCCTGGCAGTCACCACAAGGTTGCTGAAGTATCAGTTAAAACAGGGACAGATCATGGTTTGTCACTGTTTTCAGCATTACTGTTTTTTACAGGTCTCAGGGAATTAGTCACCCTGTCATACACTGCAGAGCAGAGCACTCAGGTATCTCAATCCGTTGCATGAAATCCTTTAGGCATGGAAATAGTTTTCTTTCATCTGAGTTCCCCGAGGAGAAGGTCTTTATTTTTAAACCAAATGGCTTAAGGCATATGAAACCTGCCTGAACTTGTTCTGATAATTCACTCTGCCAGGGTATAGTGATCGTGTGTATAAATCTCTTCTCTTTTTCATCTTTTACAGAAATATTTAGGACCATGCATAAAACACATTTAGAAACCGTAACTGTAAAGTCTAAAATATTGATATCTTATCCTGAGGCTGTCTTTTGCTCCCTCTTTATTATAGTTTCAGCTCCTGTTGCCTACTCTGTTTGGTTAGACCAACTGGGTGATTTTGAGCCAGACTCTCTTTGTCAGCCTAGTTCAACTCACAGGATGGTTGGGGGGCGGGGAAGGGGGGGAAAATGAGTATTATTTATATCTGTCAAATTTATATGCTACCCATCTCAACAAAAGTGACTCTTTATTTGAGTAACTTATAAAGTAATAAAGACAGGATAAAAATTTAATAAATAAATAAAAGGCATAGTATTGTTTATTTCCCACAAGGGCTCTGTTGAGGATGCTTTCCGGCCATGTCCTCATAAATCAATAATTGACTTTGTATAAATGGCAGCAATTGGCCATAAATTTATTGATACCTTCCTCAGTCTTTTAGCCGTGGAAGAAATTCTTTCACTTTACTCTGTGAGCTTCTTAATATGTGCTCTGTCTTAAGCTCTTTTATGAAATGGAAGCAAAATATATTCAACCCCACCAAGGTATAAAAAAGTAGGCTACTGCCTCACTGCGAAGCGACAACCCATTATTAGATAGTTACGTCACATCAGAGAAGAAATGATGTAATGAAGAAAGACAACTCTGTCTCATTTGTTTTATTAATGAATGGTAAATAATGCTGAATATGAAATCAGTACAAAGTAACACAATAATATTAGATAACAAATATTTTAACGTAACATTCCCTTTTATACCTGCCAGTTGCCACATGAATATTTATTGAAGTTCCTGTCGATAGCCCTAAAATAATGATGTGCTTTGCATACTTTCTTGAACTTAATTTTATATTTTAAAGCCACATGAATTCACCATCTGTTTTGAGTGAAGCATTTTGACAGAAGCACTGCACAAAAATGGCATGTTTATCTGTAAGATTGGGCTGAGTTGATTCATCTTTTGGCTTTTGTAAGCATGACTCAAAAACACACATCCTCTTTGTTTTTCTTGGCATTTTGTTTTTTGAAAGACAGCCTGTGTTCCGTTTCAGTAGCTGTGACAGAAACAATCCCCTGGTTACAGAAAAAGAAATCTGAAACTGTGAACATAGCTGATATGTTTTCTTCAATCTAAAGATTAATATAGATGCTCTTTCTAGTATACTGAACTTTATGTAGAAGAATTCATAATATAGAAATTCACAAGAATACTGTCAAGTTACATGTATATCGGTGCACTAGTTTTGATTTATACCAACCTTCTGGTGATACTGCCTAGCTGCTCTTGTTATGAAAGAAATGTGCTATTCTCTGCCAATTTTTCCTCGTTATATTCCTTATTTTATTTAATTTTTGTGTGCAAGCTTGACAGCATCCTGTAACTTTCCTTGGATGAGAAAAAAAAAAGAATATTGCACAGATCGCTTAGCATGAAATTAACAAGTTACTGAACATGAGAGGAATAATGTAGCCTCATGATACTGAATATATTTACAACGTGTTCTGGATCTAATTCTTATTTATTTAATACAGGTGCACATTGGAATTAAAGGATTCGTGAGAGATTCGGTCACTGGGGCTGCCTTGGAAAATGCAACCATTGCTGTGGCTGGAATTGCTCACAACATTACGACTGGACAGTTTGGTGACTATTACAGACTGTTGGTGCCTGGGACCTATAATATCACAGCTTCCGTCCCGGGGTAAAGTATATGGAGATGGCGTCGACATGTTCATTATTTTTGGCATAGTTTCTTCTAGCAGGGAGCTGCTTTAAGGGAATATGAGAAGCCAATCTCACTGTGTTGTCTCATTTTGCCATAAACTAGGCAGGCGCTGTCGTATAATCACATTGCTAGTGCGGACAACAACAAAAACAGGCACATAGAAAATCAGGAAACAACAGTAGCTCCGCACCGTCAGTGTTTCTTTGTTAAGAGAAAGGGCGACTAGGGTGGCTTCGTTAGCCGCCTTGAGTCTTCGGAGAGGGGCAGCATATAAATTGAATTAATTAAATTAAATTAAATTAATTAAATTAAATTAAGAAGCCTTCCCTTTGTTAAGGGGAATTGAGCGAAGGATTTGGAACAGCTGCACTGCCAGCCTGAGGTTTGCAATTAAGCAGGCATAAAAATGGGGCTTTGATGTGGAACCCTTGATTTTGGTTCTTCAGTTGAGAAATAACGTTGCTATTTGGTCTTATTATTTTTTTTCATTCACAAAATGGGAATGATATTCAAGGTGAATAAATACAGGTAGCCCTCGACTTACAACTGCCATGGAGCCCAAAATTTCTGTTGTTAAGTGAGACATTTGTTAAGTGAATTTTGCCCCATTTTACGACCTTTTTTGCCACAGTTGTTATGTGGATTTGCTGCAGCTGGTACGCTAGTAACTTGGTTATTAAGTGAATCTGGTTTCCCCATTGATTTTGCTTGTCAGAAGGTTACAAAAGTTGATCACGTGACCTTGGGACACAGCAATGGTCGTAAATATGAACCAATTGCCAAGCACCTGAATTTTGAACACATGATCATAGGGATGTTATAAAGGTTGTAACTCTGAAAAACGATCCTAAGTCACTTTTTCAGTGCCAGTGACTTTCAACAGTCACTGAATGAACTGTTGTAAATCGGGGACCACCTTTAGTAATGGAATTAGTAAATTCTATTAGGAATGCTCTTAAGCCAGGTGAAGCTAATGTCAGCCTAAAAGCATATTCTTCTCTCTTTTTTTCCCCCATCAGTTACCTGCCAGTCACCACGGAGAACGTTGAAGTGAAGGAAGAAAACGCAACTGTAGTGGACTTTTCCTTGCATCCTACAGTCACAGTGTTGACTTCCAGCCCCACCAAGGAAGCTCTGATAACCACCAGCAACTCTCTTGACAGTGCAGCAACTACCACCGCTGTAAACAGAACAGCCTCTGCTCGGCAGGTGATCCAGCCGGATGATTTTCGCCATCACCATTTCCCTGATATGGGTATCTTTCTGAGGAAATTTGCCACTGAGTACCCAAACATCACCCGACTCTACTCGGTGGGCAAGTCAGTGGAGCAAAGGGAATTGTATGCCATGGAGATATCGGATAACCCAGGCATTCATGAAGCAGGTAACTTCCCATTATATAGTTTTGTTGCATGATCTAGATCACGGGTGTCAAACTCACGTTGCCACTTTGCCGTCACAAGGTCCTGTAATCTTTCCTCATAAATGAATTGGTCCAGTTTTCATTATTTTTAATGTATTTGGTCTGAAATAATCATTTTTAATTGCGATAATCAGAACCAACTATATGCAGTAATTAATGTACAGTGATACCATTGTAGAGTATTACGATTTTTAATTCTGTTCCTATAATTAGCAGGTTGAGAGGAACTTTTCAGAGTTCTTCATTGCATATTTTTGGTTTTTACTGCATTTACATTTTAATATGTTTTTCCTATCAAGTTAATTTTGTAAATAGGGTAGGAGAGTAAGAGGGTTTGAAATGTTTCTTTTGCAAACCTGAGGAAGGACTTCCTGAAGTAAATGTCGATGGACTTCTAAGTTTAAAATAATCGTTTTTTAAGGCCAAATTGTTTGGATTTTAGTTTGAATTTTTAGTTTCAATTTTGAACTTTTGTCAATAATTTCAAATGTAGTTTTTAATAAAGAGTCTTCTTTGGGCCAAATGAGTTTCACTTCCTAAGGTTTATGTCCATTGTAGGTTCTGTTAACATTAGAGACCATTTGTTTGGACCTAAATAAAGCAATAAAGCAATTTATGTTAATTATAAAAAATCTTTAAAAAATTACAGTTCCAAAACATTAGATAGGTTTGCATTTATAAGGCACTTGTTTATACATTTGAAGGTTATCTAAGTGTCTTGTATAACCCATGTGGCATGAGCAAAGCTTGGATTCATTTGGTGGGCTGTGAATGGTGTTTTCAGTTCATGTTAACATCTGGACCAAACGGAGAGAGAATTGAAATTTTTCTCTCCCCCCCAATCTATCTGTCTGTCTGTCATCCCTCCCCCCCTCCCTTTCTCTTTCTTCCTCTCTCCCTCTCTCTCCCTCCCCCTCTCTCCATGTTTGTATGATTTATCTCGGCTTCTACACGTCATCCTATATGCGATGGCTAAACTAAGCATCTCTGTTCCTCTTCCAGGTGAACCAGAATTCAAGTACATTGCCAATATGCACGGCAACGAAGTGGTAGGAAGGGAATTGCTCCTCAACCTCATTGAGTACCTCTGCAAGAACTACGGAACCGATCCTGAAGTGACTGACTTGATCCAAAAGACTCGGATCCATATCATGCCATCGATGAACCCCGATGGCTATGAGAAATCTGTAGAAGGTAGCATGCTAGCTTTCTTTTTACACTTCTAGTAAAGGCGTTGGCCAAGAAAAGGTGGTGATTTTATAAGGCAAACGGCTTCAGCTTTTTCTCATAGGTGACTCGGCTTTAATCATAATGTACGTAAAGAGCCCAGAATTTCTTCTTTTCCTTGACTCATCCCTTTTCCTAATCTTTCTGTATTGTACTTCATTTATCTCATATTACAGAAGTAAGGACTTTCTCAATTTTAGCTTGACTCTTTGTGATCATTTTCATGCGTTTTTTGCTGGCCACAGTGCAGAAGCGGTTTGCCATTGAGCTTTAGTGATCTTTTACTTCTTGGAAATGAGACATTACTAAGCAGACATTTTAGAGCAGGGGTCCCCAACCTTGGCAACTTGAAGACTTGTGGACTTCAACTCCCAGAATTCCTCAGCCACTTTGCTTTGCTGGCTGAGGAATTCTGGAAGTTGAAGTCCACAAATCTTCAAGTTGCCAAAGTTGGAGACCCCTGTTTTAGAGGATCCATGGTGACCAGGCATTTTACATTAAGCAATATACCATTCTGCTTTCGTGGTTTAGCTCTGCAAAGCACTAGAGAAAGGAAGTGAAAGTTTACATCAGCCCAGGCAGGCAGGGAAGGTATGTTGTAGACCTGTCGGCTAAAGAATTCCAGCTGGCAGGGTCCAGGATGAAAGCCTTCCATGCCATTGCCCCTGCCCTGTGAAACGTTCTCTTCCCAGAGGTGAGGCAGGCCCCGACTTTCCTGGCCTTCCAGAAAGGCATAAAAACATGGCTTTATGGCTTTCCTTGGGGTGCACAGAGAAGCATGCCGATGTGGGACTGATTAGCGCCCTAAGGGCCCTCCCTCCGCCTTTCAATTAACTTTTAATGTGGAATTTTAATTCTCTTTGCCTCTTTCAATTTTTATATACATTTTGTTCATGTTTTCATACTTTAGTTGTACACTGCCCAAAGTCCCTGTGTGAGGGAGATGGGCAGTTTCGAAATTGGATTAATTAGATTTTGATCAGCAATTTAAATAGCTGAATGGAAGCAGTCTTCAAATTTTAGTTCGCTAATTGATTTCAAAGGAATAACATTGAATGCAGCCCTAAAACAATGGAGGATTGGTGAGAAGCAATCAATTTAAAAAAGGGGTGAATAAGGAGTTGGCAGGTATAATCTTACTTATAAAATTTATACAGCTGCCCAAGTCATGAATGGGATTGTGTGGCATGCAATAAAAACAGAAAAATAAAACCACATCTTAAAAGAACCATAAAAACAGGAAACCTGCATATAACTTGGGACAGTTGAAAAACTCAGACATAATAGATCCATCTCTGTTCCCAAGGGATCCAGGGCCTGTTGGGGAAAACCATGTCTCTGGAAGGCCAGATGGATCAGGCCAGGTTTTACCTCAGGGTGCATGATCTGCCACAGTAGAAAAGGCTCTCACTGCCTGGGTCCAATCACAGGGAACTCCTTAACACAGGCCCCCCCAAACTTTTGAGCACCAGGGACCGGTTCCGTGAAGAAAGGTTTTTCCACGGACTGAAAAGGGTGTGGTTTTGCATGCTTGCCTGCATCCCGTGAATGGGGCTTCACTTGTTTGCGTGGCCCGGTTTCTGGCATGCCGCAATCTGGTGCCAGTCTACGGATTGGGGGATGGGGATGCCTGCCTTAGCAGACGAGACCCGTACAATGCCCTTCCTGTCTGACCTGATGGGAATCCTGCATGATTCACGCAGTTTACGCAAGAGCAAACAAATAGTACAGTTAGAAAGAAGGCTTAGTGTCCCGAAGGTGTTTTTTTTTTCAAAAGGCAACCGGATTTTCTTGGTTTTTTCCCCCTTGAAAACCTTTCATTTTTCATCCAAAAAGCTTCTTCAGTTCTGAAGAAGAACTGAAGAAGCTTTCTGGATGAGAAGCAAAGGTTTTCAAGGGGAAAAAAAACCCAAGAAAATCCGGTTGGCTTTTGGAAAAGCAATTCTGTAGAAGCTTCTTGGATGAAAAGCAAAATAATTTCATGGAAAAAAAACCAAGATAGCCTTTTGAACAATACCTTTGGGACAACCATGACCTGGATGATTAAGAATCTCCCTACAAAAGAAGGCTTAGTATTTATTAGTACAAGAGCCATGAAATAGGGGCTGTGGAAAGATGAAACAATGAAAGCCAGGTCATTCATGAAAGAAAGAGACCAAACTTGACAATAGCTGACGCCGTGTTTGGCAAGCCACAACTTGGTGTTTGAACAGTAGCTTGTTCGGCTGCACCTTGGATTCTTTCTAAAGAAAGGATTTTCCCAAATTGAAATGTTTGATTAGTATGAATGTTTATAATGGCTTGGGGCCAAAGGATATTGCAGCAACGTGAACAACAATTTGTGGTTCTTCATACAATTAGGTAGATTTCCACAAGCAGGACTTCTAAAGTTTCTGAGATGAATACAGGTAGCCCTTGACTTACGACAGTTCATTTAGTGTCCATTTGAAGTTACTGCACTGAAAAAAAGAGACTTGTGACCATTTTTCACACTTATGACCGTTGCAGCATCTCCATGGTCACCTGATCAAAATTCAGACACTTGGCAGCTGGTTCATAGTTATGACGGTTGCAGTGTCCCAAGGTCAAATGATCCCCTTTTGCGACCTTCTGACGAGCAAAGTCAAGAGGGAAGCCAGATTCACTTAACAACCTTGTGACTAACTTAACAACCGCAGTGATTCACTTAACAACTGTGGCAAGAGAAGTCATAAAATGGAGAAAAATTCACTTTACAAATGCCTCGCTTAACAACAGAAATTTTTCAGCTCATGTGTGGTCGTAAGTTGAGGCTACTGTAAAGTCTTTAGGGACAGTTTTCATTTCTCCCTTGATAATTATAACATCTCTTAAGACTTGGTAAAGGAGAATTACGGAAAAAAACATTGTTTTGCCCACTTAACTTAGAGGTGCAAATTCTGTGTGCGGGAAGGATAGATATTGATAATCGCTATAAAGCACAAATGGTTCAACCAGCTCCCTTCTGTTTCTCAGGAGACGTATCGGGAATTTTCGGAAGAAACAACAGCAACAACTACGATTTGAATCGGAACTTTCCGGATCAGTTCGTCCAAATCACCGATCCCCTGCAGCCAGAAACCATAGCTGTGATGAACTGGCTGAAGACCTACCCTTTTGTGCTGTCGGCCAATTTGCATGGAGGTAAAGAGGAATGCAAAGCGGCTCGTGTGGAAATGTACAGCACTTTTATTCTAGACTCAGTAAGCCTGAGGCCTCACTGCAGGAAAACTTACCAATGCATGGGAAAATTATGTTTTTACTACATAATTTTATCTGATAATAGCTTACAAGTCAGGATTGCTGGCCAAGATCATCCACAGGAGAGCCTGTAATTTTAAAGAAGTGTTCAGATTCAACACATGTGCTCTTATTAGGGTTACTTTGAAAATGATTTAAATTGCATTGAAAAGAATGCTGCTTGAATTACTTGATTGATTGGTTTATCATTTATTTTTTCTTAAATTCATACGCCTCCCATTTCGCTGTCCAAAGGGACTCTGGGCGGCTTAAAATGTAATTAAATTAAAGTAATTGTATTACATTTATTAAAACAGATTTGTTTCCCCCCCCCCCCCCCCCAGTTTCTGGAAACCTGAAAAAAAGACATGTGTGTTTTAATAAGTAGCCCCATAAGTGTTGTGCTTGCATGAGATCCAAAGAACTCCAGACTCATTTTTAAAGTATGCCCAACCTGTTTTTTTTTTTTTGTGTAGCTCTTCTGAAACGTCTAGTCCCACCCACCCTCCCTCCTTTTTTTTTTTTTTTTGTTTGCTGGGGGGCATTTGCTGAGTACATTTCCTCTGTTCTGGCTCTTGATGTTTAAGAACAAGTAACAAGCAGGTGCTATCTTGCCATCTCTTGATGAATTCCCCTGGGTGGATTTTTTTCTCATTGTTGTCTTTATTTACCTGGATTAGTTTTGTGGCTGGTTGCGAAATCTAAGCAAATAGTATTGTTCTTGACTGTGGTGGTAGAACGACTGCCTTTTATGTTACAATTAATTTACTCAGAGTAATAAAATCCTGAAAGATATATACATACATATATATTTGCTCTTTGCAGGATCTCTGGTGGTTAACTACCCCTATGATGATGATCAGCTAGGAGTTGCCACATACAGTAAATCCCCTGATGATGCTGTTTTTCAGCAGCTAGCTCTTGCCTATGCCAAGGTAATAATTATTGGAAGGTGTCTCCCAACGGATCCTGAAACCTCTGAGATCCACTAGCTTACTTATCACACACGCTTATATACGGTGTTATGCGGGTTATGATTTCTGGGGGGTTACAAGGAACTTAAGAGAAGCTACATGTATTTTTAAGCTGTCAGGCTCGTGCAGACGAAATGCAGTTATATAGCCTGTGGTATAAAGTATCCACAGTAAGGTACCTACAAGAATTAAAAGGCAATGCAACTAAAACTGAGCAGTACATAATGGCATAATGAACCAATGGCATTATCTAACTTGTTAGAAAGGCCTTCTGGAAGATGCCATTGTTTTAAATTTCTTGCCTTTTGAGATTATTATTATTACTGATATTTATTAAACTTATTTGTCACCCATCTCACCACAAGGTTTACTCTGGGAAAGTTTCTGTTGGATAAGAGAAAACAAAAGTTTTATCTGTATAAATTGGACATGTATGGTGTTTACTAGGGAGGGATTATAGTAAAATGGTGTCGTGGTTGTTCCAAAGGTGCTTTTTCCAAGAGGCAACTGGACTTTCTTCTTTGAAGACGTTTCACTTCTCATCCAAGAAGCTTCTTCTGCTCTGACTGGATGGTAGGGAAGGGAAGGATTTATATTCCTTGCAGACAACTGGTCAATTGCATTTAAAAGACAAAGGCCTCTCTTTTGAAGACAGCAAAGTCCAAATTTGGATAGAGAGGACCCTGGTTTGAAAGAGGGGTCAAAGAGGCCATCAATGTCCAAATTGAACAGCCCTCTCTCAACAGAAGGGGAGGGATACCACACCACCCATCTTCAGTCTACAAACAGTCCTTTCAGCAGTTCCAAGAAGGCTCCACACCCATTTGCACCACTCAGGTGACCCCAGGAGACAGGTAAACCTTCAGGTGGCCTCAACAACCTTCTAAAAGGATGCAAATGACCAGCTGTCTGCAAGGAGCATAAATCCTTCCATTCCCAACCATCCAGTCAGCACTGAAGAAGCTTCTTGGATGTGAAGCGAAACATCTTCAAAAGAAAAACCAGAAAGTCCAGTTGCCTCTTGAAAAAAAACACTTTTGGGATCTTTGCTGTTTTAGTTGTTTTTCTTTATATTAGTAAGTGGAGTGTCCTGCTAATCATTGCAGTACGTAAAATAAATAATATTGTCAGACTCTAGAATGTGATGAAAGTTGTACCCTTTGTAAAGAATATATTTCTTTGCCCTAACTGCAAACAAATCATTTGTTTTATTCAGAGCGGGGCAGAGAGTTTCACACCAATTCATTTATCTTTTTAAGGGGTTCACAATATCACAAGATTAAGGAGTCCTACACCAAAACCATAATGAAATGTTTATTTAACATGATAAGTTAATTTAGCCATTGTGCTTTGCAACCACAGTTCACACACCTTTTTTCAGTTTGACTTTTGTGTGGAGGTCAAACAAAAACAAAAAAGAACAAAGAACAAAGAGGTAGAGATAAGGTTAGGGCCAAAAGTAGATTGTAGAATTAATTCAACTGAAATTACATTGGATCAGTTAAATACAGTTTTTCTTCTTGTCCCTTCAAAAAAATAGAATTTTCTGGCAATTTCTGAAAGGACTTTGCCTATAACATTTTGTGACCTGCATGTGGCTTTGTGAAATAAATTTACTCCTCAGATTTGTGACTTAATGTCATTCTGAAACCAGCCACTGTAATTATTTTATAAATCCAGAAATGAATGATATAACGTAAAAGGAATGTAACCCAATGACTGACCGGGGATCCTGGAAGATTAAATACAAAATGTTTGGAAGGCACTAAAGTTCTAAAAAAATTGAATTATTAGTTGCATATACTAGAATGTTACAAGAGGACCTGCTTTCCAAGTATCTGGAAAGAATATTAGAAACAATGTGATCTGCATAAACTTAAGTCAACACTTTCAAAACCAATTCTCTGGTTTTACTTATTTCTGCAAAAAAAAAAATTCAGGTCCTTCTTATCTTGATTGTAGTTCCTGCTAGTTTTCCTTCTGTTACATTTGCACCAACAGGTTGCTTGGATTTTAGGGAATGAAAGCTGTACTTTTTAATTTAATCTTAATAGGGACTCTGTGACAAATTATGAAACTTGGTGGGTGATCCTGAGTCTCACATAACCTAATTGTCTCTCAGAGTTATCTGGTTAAAATTGCAAGAGAATGGTATATTGGATTA